TTAAAGGCAAATCTAAACTCTTTATAGGTTCATAAATTTTAGCTCTTTCCTCAATAGGTAATGGTTCATTCAATAAAATAATTTTATTTGAAATGTTTATTATTTCTGACTTGAAGTAAGGTACATATAAATATATAGAAGAAACAACTCTTGCAAATCTTGCGCTGAGTTGTGACGTTTTCTACCACGCAACTCGCCTAATGTACTTATCAAATTCTTCTTTGTTATTTTTAGCCACCTCAATGAGTTGTTTGCTTTTTGTATTTTTTAATAACTTTTTCATTTTTATATTGTAAACGTGTCTTTCTAATTGTATATTTTTATAATAAAGCTTTCTAAAATTTACTATTTCTTGAAAGTGTATTGGCGTGGTCTTGCTGCTATTCAAAAGTTTGCAGCTGCAGCAAAATATGCATTAATGGTTGTTGACGTAGCTAGCCGTTTTAACTATGCTAAACCTATTACTAACAAAATGGCTGCAATTGTTTCAGAAGTTCTTGCTAAAATATACAGGCGTGGTCCTCTTACATGTTCCAATCTTATTCAAGTTGATTCCGGAAGTGAACTATAAGGGGCTACTATACTAAGAACGAATTTCTTGAAAAAAATAAAGTCCAGATCAGGCAAGCAGCAGCTAGAAATCATCAAAAACAGTCCATCGTTGAACGTTATAATCGCACTCTTGCTGGAAAACCTTTTGGTCGTCAGTATGCTTAAGAGTTACTAATGATTGAAAGATCAGTTGAATGGGTAAAAGGTTTACCTGCTGTCTTAAAATCAATTAACAGCCCCATTAAGTGGCGTTCTTGAGTCAGCAAGGTTAGTATTATTAGCGGCCGTGGCGCAGTGGTTAGAGCGCTTGCTTTATAAGCAGGAGATCTAGGTTCAACACGAGCCTTGGACATTTTTTCGCGTCACGGTAAGGAAGGAGGCGTGAACTTCCTGGTTAAATGCACTTCCGCGGTGCTCTGTGACAAGACCGTTAGGTCTTCTTGAGGCAACTAAATAAATTCAAAAAAAAAAAAGAAAAGAAAAAAAAAATTATTAGAATCCGTGCTAAGAGAAGTTAAACAATACTTCAAATGAATCTTGCAGTTAAGTTTACAAATACTGGAAAAAAGAATTATATGTTATTTTCAAGAAAATGACGTATACTCTCATATATCATAAATAATACATATTTTATTGTAGATGCACTTTAAATACCAATGGTTGTAAAGCTAGAATTACCCACATGCACAGAGTAAATAAAGAAGACAAATAAAAATAACAACACACTATTAAACTGTATAAAAAGAATAAATTAAAAAATTAGAAAAAGGGAGTGAAAAACTTTTTATTGTTTATTATTATTTATTGTTTGTTGTTGTTATTCATTTCTTGTTTCTTTATTTATCTTTCCGTTTTAATGTGTCGTAAATAGTTAATTATTTTTTTAGAACTAAATTTTATTTTATCAAGTGATATGTAGTGTTTATTCTCGTTTATTGTATTTTCCTTCTTCTTTTTTTTTCATTTCAACATTGTATTCATTACGAATTTTTAAATAGGGGTGCACCGATACCTTCCTTTGGCCAATCCCGATGCCGAATGGTACAAACCAATAACAATGCAACTGCATTGGCCCTGAATTTGAATTTATACTATTTTTTTTTTACTAATAGATAATTAAAGATTGTTTTGAAAAAAAAAAAAAATATATATATATATATATATATATATATATATATATATATATATATACATATATATATATATATATATATATATATATATATATATATATATATATATATATATATATATATATATATATATATATATATATATATATATATATATATATATATATATATATATATATATATATATATATATATATATGTATATATATATATATATATATATATATAAAATTTCATAAAAAATAAACCAACAATTAGCAAAGTAACAGAAATTCTTATATTGATGAAACTGTTATTGGGGATATTGATAAAAACAATTGCTCAAAAGCAATTAATTAATTTTTCAAAAAAAAATCAAGAGTCTCTCAGAAAAGTTTTTGTATATTCACATTTCTTGATTTTAAACTTCTCTCTTTGTATAGTTTGGATGCAAAAGTTATATAGTTTCCACTCTAGATTAAAAAAATTAGGGAGCCCTTGATAATAAAACTGTTCAAAAAATATTTTGATAGGTTTAGTAGTTGTAGATATGCTTAAATGATAAATGAGGATTATACATGCATTTTCGTTTATGATATAGTTGTTGAGGTCACATTTATAACTTTTTGTTACGGCTAAGGGTTTGTTAATAGTAATGAGGCAATTGCTTGGACTATTTAATAGCGTACTGTGTACTATATGTGGTTTTAGTCAAGTTTGTTGACAAATCTAAAAAAGACTAAAGTACTAAAAACTATAAAACACAAAAAGCCATCGTCACCACCAAGTTCTCTAAATCTATCACTAATTAATACCAGTGGCTTTCAAAAGAGCTTTTCTTCTGTTGAGTCTTATCTCTTGCAAAATTTAACAGGCCTACTTTCTCTTTAAGACTAACTTGAGTTTAGTTGTTTCATCTTGTGATCTTAGTTTGATGGTTATCTTCTTTTAATTTGTAAAGAATCCAATAGTCATATGCTTGGTCTGGGCATTTACATTTGTAAGAATTCACCCATTTGCCGGGAAACTAAACCGAATCCATCGACTATTTCTTTATGTGCTTTTGTTTAGCATCACTTCACTTTATCACCTTTCTCTGTGTTCTATATCGTTCTCCTTTAACTAAAGGCTGCACTTTTTTTGATTTTATTTCTGATTTACCAAGCTTTTTTGTTGTTGACTTTAATGCTCATCACACTGAATGGCTTGGTTCTTGTGTAAGTGAACCTGCAGACGATAAGGCCCATAACTTTTGCCTTTCTCAATTTCTAACACAAATACTTAACTTTCCAACTCGCTTTAAAGACAATTCGAATCATTTACATTCTCTACTCAACTTATCTTTTGTTTCTGATCCTAATCTGTTTCTTCACATTCACTCTTAGGTGCTTCTGATCACGGTTTAATTTCTCTAAACTATTATCTCATTCTTTTTTATTGTCAGAGTTCCCCTGTCATTGTACCTCTAGCAACTAACTTACACTTGTGTAGAAATCTTTCGTCTTTCTGCTGATAAATGTGTTTCTTATGTATCTTTTTGGATTCAGACTGGTATAGAACCTTGTATTCCATCTCGACGATTCTAAGTCAAGCTTCATTCTTCTCCATGAGTTTCCTCTCATTGTGCTGTTGCAATTTCTAATCGTAACCATTACTTTCATATTTACTAACCATTACTTTCATATCTACTTAAACCATTACTTTCATATCTACATATATGGAAGTAATGGTTACGATTGGAAATTGCAACAGCACAATGAGAGGAAACTCATGGAGAAGAGTGAAACTTTACTCAGAATTGTCGAGATGGAATACAAGGTTCTATACCAGTCTGAATCCAAAAAGATACATAAGAAACACATTTATCAGCAGAAAGACGAAAGATTTTTACTCAAAAAACAATTCATTTTTCAATCCATTGTTGATGCTTTTTGAATATTTTATGATAGTATAATTTTGGACCTCACGTGCCCACCATGTTTGAAAATTAGTTTAAAACTTTAAAGTTTATAACATCCTAAGTTAAGTAAGGGAATGTAGTATGAAATAATATTTACCTTTATTACTTGTGATTATAACCACGATAACGTTTTGTAAACGGTTTTGCTGTTATGACAAATAAATAAAATTATTTTAAATGAACTTTTGAAACAATGCAAAACAGTTTTACAAATTCACAGAGTGACAAAAATAGTTATAAAGTCACGCTTTGTATTTCAGGGCCGACAACTCGCTCGGTGTCGTTAAGGCAATTTTAAAATATTATAACGTATGATATTTTGATGACTATGACATATCTCCGTTAAATAATCAGGTCTGTGAATTATGAAAAGACGAAAAAATTAAAATGATAAATTTTGTGGTATCATAAAACATAAATGTTTGTCGCGAAAAAACCCAGACCAAAGATTCTTTTTTTAAAAAAAAATCTACTTATGACCTGTCGTTTATTTGCGCTTTTTCTTAATTATAAGAAAATCTTATAATTAAGAAAAAGCGCAAATATCATACGTTATAATATTTTATCGCTCTTTCTTGGTCAGAGTTCTAGTAGTTTTTGTAAAAATTGATAGAGAAATTGTGTTTTGACAACTATTTATAATTAATATACGTCAGAACCGATTAAAACTAGGATTTATACTTAATTAAGGCACATTTTCAAAAGATTTTATGAGCGAAAGTGATCTAAAGACTCCAAAATGATGTTCTTTAGATTCTCTATTAGGGGTAGTAAGAGGTTTTTAAAATTATATAAAAAAGAGAAAAGATTCTTCAAGTATTAAAAAAATCTAAAGCAAAAAAAAACAAACTACGACATCTAAAGCTTTTGTTTGGATAAAATACGCTTATAAAATCATGCTTATTTCAAATATAAGAATTCGAATAACTTGTAAATCGCCTTAACTACACCGAGCGGGTTTCGAAGTGTAGCGGCACAATCGTCAATTTTAAAAAAGTCCTCTACTGCTAGAATTTTCTTAAAAAAATAAAAAAAACCTTTGGAAAAAAGTGTGAGGAAGTGTTAGAGAAGGGGAAAAGGGCACTTGCCCCCTGCCACTACCCACTGCCTCTGCATTTTGATGACTAATCGGCGTCACCTCTGAAATGATATCGCCCCCTGAAATGATTTACACCACTGCACCACTTAGTAACGTTTCTAAGATTAAGTATGCTTTTACCACACTTTACAGTATAAAAAAATTGTAGATAAATAAAGTTGTGACGTTGTTTCAATAAAATATAATTACAACCCATTTTATTTAAAGGCAGATCAGCTGTTTTAGATGACAATAATCAATAATCCCGCGCGTTGCCGTTAAACTAACATACCAACCATTTGCATTATTGTTACTCACGGTAGTTTTCTACAAAATTGTAATCGGCTAAGAAAATGTGAAGGATGTCTGATGATGCAGACATAGCAGAGACATGGATAGATTTTTATGAAGCTAATAAACCAATACCTCTACATCCAACGAGAAACAATATTACAAGCTCATCTCCATCGTTTCAATTTTGCTTAACTATAAAAAATTTGGAAGTTTTTTTTCAGAAACCTGTAAGGTTTACATAATTTGAATAATTTTGCTTTATACAAATTAACTGTTTGGTTTATTATTTTTTAGTATTCAAAATAAAATAAGTTTTCATTAATCAACTAAATAAATTTTAAACAAAAAATAATTTCAAAGATTTTTTTCATGAAACCTTAAACAAGTGATAAAAAGTTTAAAAATATATTATAATAAGTCATAATACTAAAATAAATCGTTATTTATCGAATTAGTTGTAATTTTTTAAACCAAATAAGTTTTGGTTCTTTAAAAAAAATTAGTTTAGGTTTTTTACTTATCTTTTAACCATGCCCTTAAATAAAACTGCATACGAAGTTAATAAAATAATAAATAAATAGTTTCCAGACTTTTTAGGCAGCTATTTCATTTATGCATATATAATTAAACTGCAGATGTATAATATTTTTAGAACTCAATTGAAAAAATATATTTGAAATTTTTTATATAGGATCCATGTAACTTCCAATTACGAATCTCATTTTATGATGCAGCAAACCATTGGTTTTTCGGAAATACATGGATAGGCTTACCGATAAAGTCAACAGTAACAAATAATAAGTTGCATGCAATAAACATCAAAGATCAGGTATAAACATCTATTACTCTATATATAAAAATAGTGTATATTTGCTTTTATGTTATAACAAGATGTGTATGTATTTTAATTTTGTAGTTTAATAACAATTCAATTAGTATTTAATTTTGCTTTCATTTAAAATTAGTTATATTACTGTTATAATATTTATACTTTATATATATATATATATATATATATATATATATATATATATATATATATATATATATATATATATATATATATATATATATATATACATATATATATATATATATATATATATATATATGTCTGAACTTCAAAACAAAATACAAGATCATTAGACAGTTGCCAACTTACACGTTGTCAACAAAAATTCTCCCAGGGTTGCCACCAAATCAGGGAAAATCAGGGAAATTTAGATACAATCAGGGAAAATCAGGGGGAAATGATTGATTTAGGAAAAAATCAGGGAAAATCAGGGAACTTTTTTATTTTTCTTTAATGTTTTTAAATTTTTTCCAATAAAAATCTTCCTTTTTAAGAGTACCAGGGTTAATGTTTAACATTTTTAAAGAAAATTAATCATATTGTGTTTACATTAATTTAATGTTTGCAACATAATTCAAAGAAAAATGGTTAATTGATCCTTTGTTTGAAAAATGGCTGATAATAGGCAAAAATGTCCAATTTGATCTAAATATTCAGTTTTAGAGCAGCAATTTAAATCATGTTGAATCCAGATACTTTGACTATAAATTTTTAGGTTACCCCACAGCAAAGAATTTACTTAAAAGTATGACTCAACTAAGTATGGAAGGTACAAATGTGAACTGTTCCCTTCTTAATCTTCTTGAATTGCACCATGATCAACAAGAGCTACCTAAACTTCTTAACGTTGGAAGCTGTAACCTTCATCTAATACATGGTTTCAAATCGGGTTTTCAATCTGCTGAATGGAATATAAAGAAGTTAATGAAAGCATCATACAACCTTTTTTATGATTCTTCAGCTAGAAGAGCTGATTATGTAACTGTTACTAAATGTGAGAGTTTTCTTTGTGCATTTTGCTCTACACGCTGAGTTGTAGACCAAAAAGTTGTAGATAGACTTTGTTTATTTTGGGAGAATGTTAAAAAAAATAACCAAGTATTGGGAGACTCTTTCTAAAAGTAAGTAACCAAAATGAAAGAGCTATGACAAGTGTTTGGGGCAGAGTTGTTAACAAGGCCAAAATTATCAAGACCAAGGCCAAGGCCGCTCATTATAAGTCCAAGGCCAAGATCAAGGCTAAAAGTTACAAGGGCAAGGCCAAGAGTTTATGGTTAAGGCCAAAACAATCAATGCCAAGACCAAAATTTTCAGGTCAAGGACTAACAATTCTGGTTCGAGGGAACAAAAGATAAGTTAATTCTGACTAAATTGAAGTTTTTTGGTTACATTGCAAGTTTTTTGCAGAAAATCTTACTGAGATATCAAACCAATGCCCAAATGATTCCCTTTCTTTTTGAAGATTTGTTCTCAACTGTTGAAAGTTTAATGGGTTTAATTATAAAACAAGATCTCCTTAGCATCGTTAATGGCAGGAAACTTCAATAATATGATTTTACAAAAAAGGAAAACTTTCTGCTATTAAAATTAATGATAATAGGATTTGCTGCAGAACATAACATTATCGAATTGAGGAAAAAGGATGCATTAT